GAAAAATGCGGTATAGAAATAAAGCAAATAAAGCAAATAAATAAAAGTCCAACTCCCTGCCACGCAGGAAGACACAACTGAAGGCCAACCAACTTTAGTGTGAAGATCTCCAAAAAAGAAAGAAGAGTCCAACATCATCTGGAGAGATCGGTTTAATATATACACACATACCCTTAACCTATTAAGAAAGTATTAAGACCTAATACAAAGGTATTAAGAAAGTGTTCAGCCTGTGTTGATGTTTTTGTCCGCAGCACCCAAACACGAATCAAGGAACATGAAAGGCACTGCAGAGTGCTTCAACCAGAGAAGTCAGCCATAGCAGAGCACCTGATGAACCAACCTGGACACAGCATATTATTTGAGAACACAGAAATGCTGGACCACTCTCACAACCACCATGTCAGACTACACAGAGAATCCACTGAAATCCACAAGCATGTGGACAATTTCAACAGAAAGGAAGAAACCATGAAAATGAACAAAATCTGGCTACCAGTATTAAAAAAAACTCAAAAATTACAACAGCAAACAACAGAGAGTAAACAACCAGGCACATCAAATCACTCTCAACAAAAGATTCCCCCCAGGCACTTCCAAGCCATTAAATGTTAATTAAGGTGGTCAGCTGAAACATTCACACCTAGCTGCAGCAGACAAAGGTCCTTTCTCCCATCCTGGTCATTCCACAGCTATATAAACCCATTTTCCTAGTTCCAACAGACCTCACTACCTCTGAGGATGCTTGCCATAGATGCAGGCGAAACGTCAGGAAAAAAATGCCTCTAGAACATGGCCATATAGCCTGGAAAAACCTACAACAACCCAGTTTTTGTCCTTGCTTCTACCATATTTTATCAGAACTCCATTCGTGATTTGTATTGTATGTTTTCATGTAGTATCTGACTCAATGTTCTTCTCCAGTATGGTTGTTAACCTCATTGCCTAAAGAAGCCATTAAAATTTGGAAGGTAGCTAAACCTAGATGTGTCATGTAGATTTTGCTATTTTCGTGTAGGCTGTTATGCCAACCCAACATGGTTTCCGAAAATAAGCACCAGGATACAAATCTAATAATTAGAAGGAAACATTCCTGATTGCCTTGAAATGTTGTGGCTCCGGAACTTGAGGCTCTTCACACTACGTAACCAACCATAGCACAAGATTCCACTTTAATGGCCACAACATCCTGTTGAATCCTTGGGCTTACAGTTTGGAAAGGAACTAGCCATGCTTAACCTTTATACCATTAAGGAACCTTTGAAATAACTTTGAGGTCCCAGCTCTATAAAAGTGTGGCATCTGTATAGATGAGAAACTCCATATTACAGCTTTCTGGCTAAGAATTCTCAATGTGGGTATTTGTGTATGTACTTTATTTATTTATTTATTTCCTATATGTATACCTCGCCCTTCCCACCCCCGAGGGGGGAGGCTCAGGGTGGCCTGACAGAAGCACCAAATGATGCCATCACCATAAAACATTTAGCAATATATTGACAAATTGGAATGTGTCCAGAGGAGGGCGACTAAAATGATCAAGGGTCTGGAGAACAAGCCCTATGAGGAGCGGCTTAAAGAGCTGGGCATGTTTAGCCTGAAGAAGAGAAGGCTGAGAGGAGACATGATAGCCATGTATAAATACGTGGGAGGAAGTCATAGTGAGGAAGTGCAAGCTTGTTTTCTGCTTCCCTGGAGACTAGGACGTGGAACAATGGCTTCAAACTACAAGAGAGGAGATTC